TGAAGAGGCTGCCCAGGGTCTATAAGGACTGAAAGTTGGTAAGAAGCCAGGGAAAAGGACTAAGGAGCCCTGAGAGGGTCCTAGGAAAGAGTGCTCTAGCACCCAACAGCTGGGTAGGAACAATAGGGCACTGAGGGCAGGCTAGCCCAGTGCCCAAATAACCCGGACTGGAAAATCATTGATGGCATAAAACAGAGATCGCAGAGTAAAAGGGAACTACCTACTGACGGGTCCCCGGGCCCGAGACGACGACAGGTCCGGTGGTACGGGCGAGGGTGTAGGGGTGGCGGAGCCCTCACTGATTAGGGACCCCAAGAGTCCCGGAGTCTCACTTTTGGACTGGTACGCGCTGGAGTAAGATCACTGAACCAGAATAACATCAAAGTCGTGGCAGGCGTATCAACCGCGTACAGGCCAAGAGGAGGGACCCGTAGTGATTCGAAGCGCTGTGGGCGAGGCGTGAGAGAAGGCGGGTGCGGCATCGGATACACCCGAGCCTGCACAGCAGGGATTACTTGCTGAACTAAAAAGAGCCTAAATATTCACTTCTAAAAAATGGGTAAGATCTTGATTCTTTGTCGTCTTTGTCCTTGATCACACTCAATCTAAAAGAAAAATAAAAAACAACCCACATCTGGCAGCTTTGAGCTACTCTTCTTTGCAGCATACATCCTGACAAGCTTTGATTAGACCTGATGCTTCAGCGTATCAGCCCTTGGGGGTGTAGGGATACCAGTCAAATAAAACAGGTTTGCTTGGCAGCTGCAGAGCAGGTAGATGCAACAGAACACACGCGTGGGAGTGGGCATCCTTCCCATGCAGGGTCCTTCAGGAAAATTAAGATGAATCAACTGAAGTAATAAAGACAATGCACATAACTTAACTTAAAGCAGGTTAAAGTGCCCTGGCCATCTAAGGCCATTTTACACCTAAATGCGATGTGCTTTTTTTGTTTTTTTAAGGAAGATTTTTTGCGTTCCAAGTCAAGTCAGTCAAATGGAGTTCGAAGCCCCGAGTCAGTCAAGAACCATAAGTGGCCCCAATTACCAGCAAACATCTTCCACCCCCACCTGGGGCTTCAGATGCTTCCAAATCCTCTTGTGGGCATCCCACGTGCAGGCCCAAGCCCAGAGACCAGGTTCGGATGCCCCTGAGTTTTGCTCGCCCTCAGCCATGTGGCTGCAGGAGCAGGCTTGGGAGGAGTCTCCCATTTCCAAAAAGTGGGTGTAAAGCCAAGATCTTCCCAGTGGAAGTGAATGTGGGAGGTTAACTGTATGTTACCTCCGTGTGTGCTACCCCGCATCAGAAAAGCGGTTATCCCCAGCGACAAGGAAAACCACCTTACTGATCATGGTGTTTCCTCTTCCAGATAAGATTTTTTTTGTTTGTTTTCAAATTTTCCAAACAAATTAGCCCAAATTCCAAATCCATGAGTCTGTCAAGAGCCATAAGTGGCCCTACTACCGGCAAACCTCCCCCACCCCAACTGGGGCTTCAGGTGTTTCCAAAACCTTTGGCGGGCATCCGATGTGCAGGCCCAAGCCCAGAGGCTTGGGGTTTGGATGCCCCCGGAGTTTTCATAGGTTCATAGATGTTAGGGGTGGAAGAGACCTCAGTAGGTCATTGAGTCCCACCCCCTGCCCTGGGCAGGAAAAAGCACTGGGGTCAGACGATATCATCCGCCCCCAGCTTCCCTCTTTGCTAGCCCTCAGCCGTAACCTCCGGGGCAAGCAGTCTCCCATTTCCAGAAAGCCGGTGCAGAGCTAAGGCCTTCCCACTGCAGCAGCTCAGCGGGAGGTTTGCTTCACACCACCCCGCAGTCTTATCCCCGGGCCCAGTGGCCGTGGTCGCGCTGTGTCCCTGCCGGGCAAGCGCGGACCAGGCTGGGCCCAGCCCCCCGGAGGGTGTCAGGGAGGAGTATCGCTGTGCCCCGGGGCCCAGGAAACGAGGACTTCTGGTGCCGTGAGCTGGGC